ACATAAAGACAATAATACTATTTCACTCAAGTGTCTTCCTAAATATTAATATTCCTTTTTTAATCTTTGAATTAAAACTATAGCAATAGACAAGACTTGTTTGCTTATATCACAAGCCCTGAGTAAACATCTCCCCTTCTATCTCTAAAATGCAGACTTACATTTCAAAGCTCTATTCATTTATCTATCTTCCTACCCAGTCTAGGTTCACCCATGGGTCAGGTCAGTCGGTGAGTTAATTCACTCTTTCTGGCCCTGTCACCTTCTAATGAAATATTATATTACACTCATAACGTCTCAGGGGGTGCAGGACCCTCTGCCCCCCCCCCCAGGACCCCGCCGGGGCGGACTCGCTGTGGGAAGCGCACGGAGGGGCATATGCTGAATGCTCCCAGGTCAGACCCAGGAGGTGAAGCCGTGTGAGCTTCTTGCCCTGAAGACAGTCTGCTCCTAGGGAGAGGAGGCTCCCCAGAGTCCTGCCTGGCTTTGTGGGGAGCAGTTCCAGAGCATCGCCCGGGGACCCGTGACAGGCAGCCTCCAGACAAGTCCTGCCCCCTGCCCCGGAGAGCTGTTCCGATTCCTGATCTAAGAAGGTCCTTTAAACTCTGAGATAAGCCTGACCTGGGCCCTTCCTACCACCGAGCTCAATAACCAGGCCAGTTCTTCCCCAGAAGCTCTGCTGGAAATCTGCCAGGTTCATTCCCACGCAGAAAGAGCAGCTCTCATGCCAGAAAACTGGAACTTTTCAGCCAAAAAACCTGAAACACGTGGTGGCTCCAGGATTCCAGGCTTTTCAATGAAAAGTTTTAATTTTCAGCAGGAAAAACTTTCCAGCCAGCTGAAACCAGGACAAGGTCCCGCTGGGAAGGCTGGGTTCCCCCTTCACACCCCCCGGGATGAGTAGAGGGCATGGCCCAGAACAATCCCAAGTATTCCCTCTCCAGCGCCCCGCCCCGGCTCTTTTCCTTGTCCCATCTTCCCCTCTGCCTCCTGCCCCATCCCGCTCCCTGCTGCTTCCCTCTAGGGTGACCAGATCGCAAGAGTGAAATATCAGGACACGTTGGGCGAGCGGGGCGGGGGAGGGGAGAGGACGACAATGACAGACACAGATGCACAGAGCCATGAGAGGGGGCCCTAGGAAGCTGCAAGAGGGGTTGTACGGCCCCTGCTGCAGCCCGCACCACAAGCCACAGGGCAAGGACACCTATTGAATTCAATGAGAATTTTGCATGTGAATTGATGTACCTAGTTCTGAGATGATAAAGCCAGAAGGGATCCGGTGATCACCTGGTCTCACCGCCTGTATAGCACAGACATAGAACTTTCCCCAAATAATTCCTAGAGGATAGCTTTTAGAAAAACACCATAACCCTTAGTATATTGTTAATTGTTAATTACTCTCACCATTGAAAAGCTATGCCTTATATCCAGTCTGAATTTGTCTAGCTGCAACTTCCAACCCTTGGCTCATGCTCTACCTTTCTCTGCTAGACTGAAGTGCCCATTAACAACTCTTTGTTCCCCATGTAGATACTTACAGTCTATAACCAAGTCACTTCTTAACCTTCTTTTTGTTAAGCTAAATAGATTGAGGTCCTTGAGTCGATCACTATAAGGCATGTTTTATAATCCTTTAAATCAGTCTTGTGACTCTTCTCTGAACACTCTCCAATTTATCAATATCCTTAAATTGTGCACCCCAGAACTGGACACACTATTCCAGCAGTGGTTGCACCATCCAAACTTCTGAATAGCTTGAAAAAACACCAATCTAAAACCATATCAACCCAAACATAGATAACA